TAAGCATGGATGACTTTGTCCCAAAAGGAAACATCTTTATCTTGCCTTCCCCCTCAATGGCATTTTCAAATAAAATGTTGTAGCAAATGAACATCTCTCCTACATATTTTTCTGAGGAAAGAATGTTTCTGAAGCCCAAGGTCATGCATCCCCAGCTAAAGAAACAAAGATATCAGTCACTTGCATTGAGACCTATAGAGATGGTCCTCAAAGTCTTTTCCATGCAGGAAAAAGGACAGATTCCCAAGAGCAGGCAATGAGCCAAATTTTTTTTAAAAAATTTATTTAATTGTATTTATTATTATTTTTATTTTTAAATTTGCTACAGGGTGCATGTGCTCACCAAAGACAGAAAAAGAGAGAAAGAGGGAGATAGAGAGAGGAAAAGTGAGAAACCAAGTCACCAGGTCCGGGACTTGAACTGTGGTTGACCATATGGGAGTCCAGCGCCTTAACCAACATGCCACCTGTCAGCCCCAATGAGCCAAATATTGACAGCTTTGTGGATTTTCAAACAAGCCATCTGAAACTCAGAAGAGTTGGGAATTAATCCTCAGATTTTGCAGTTTGTTAGCACAGCTGAATGCAATTTGTGGAAAGCTTAAAGCAGCACATCAAGATCCCAGCCACGGGACCAGCAGTTGGCATAATGGCTATGTCGCTGGACTCCCATGTATTAGACAGCCGCTCCAGTCCTGGACCTGGTGGCTTAAACTCACACCGGGCACATGTGCATGTGTGCCCAAGATCCTGAGAGGAGAATGGAGGAGAAGGGATTGTGGCGTGGCCATCCCCCCTGGGGGGATGATTTCTAGCTCTCTGGTCTCTCTCTGTCTCTCTGGCAAGAGCACGCACCCTATAGCAAAAACCTCTCAAAAAAAAAAAAGAGAGATCCCAGCCACTAGGCTAACCCATTAGCCTAGAGGTTAAGGGACCTGGATTCAACATGGCTGAACACAGTTCGAATCTCAATCCAGGAGATTTCAAAGCACACGGGGCACGTGTGTGTGTGTGTGTGTGTGTGTGTGTGTGTCCCAAATCTGATAGAGGTGGAGAAGGAATTGTGGTGCGACCACTCCCCATTAGGGGGTGCTTTCTTCTCTCTCTCTCTCAAAAGTGTACACACGCTCTGGAAATTTAATAAAAAAAGATCCCAGCTTAGTTTGCTATGCACCAGTGGTCACAATCTCAAATGCCTAGAGGAAGCAGTATGAAACACAAAGGAGGAAAGTCCTTGCCTAGATGTAAAGTAACAGAAGGATAGGGTGGTGGCAAAGACAACCGCACATATTTCAAATTCACCCCCAGCCGCCGTTACTGTTTGGTAATGGCAACCAAGCATTGCTAGACGATCTATTGTTTTTGAGAGCCAGAAATCCAGATTTTTATGTGAAATCTACCAACCGTTAAATGCCAGCAGACAGTTTAGCATTTAGAAAATATACATTGGCTGCCAACAAAACACACCTGTGGGCTGAATCTGACTTCCTTATTACCAATTTTTCTTTAATTGCCAGAGGGCACATGTGCTCACCAGAGAGAGACAGAGAGAGGGAGAGGGAGAAGCAACTCCAATGGGGCCTGGCTATGCTGCACTCTCTCCACTTCTCCACCCAGTTGGGATTCTGGGCACTCACACATGTGTGCCTGGCATGATTCTCAAGCTGTTGGGGCTGGGACTTGAACCATGATGGGCCATGTGGGATCCGGCTCCCTTAACTACTAAGTTACAGAGCCAGATGCATAATAACAATTTTAACGTATGTATTCTAATGTTTATCTCTGTAATGGGTTTTAAATGATGACAAATCTGAAATATCAGATCTAGCAAACATGAGATAAAGCTTTAGCTAATTTGAACATCATCTTGTAACTAAGGCATGCTAGCAAACATTTCACAGCCACCTCTGGGAATACACGCCCTGGTTTGTAATATTTACTCGTGTCTGTGGTGCAATCAGCCCCACCATGGCCAGTTTCTAGTCACCAACACAATGTCACTAAAAGTAGGCTTTAGAAGGATAAAAGCATGGACTCTGG